CGATGTTGGTGTCTATTTTCAGCTACGTACATCCCCCCTCACACGTCATTTCAACCAGCCAGCCATTTGTAATCCATAGGGGGGGCGCAGAAAATGTTTGGAAACCACTGTGGGGGCGCAGAAGAAAAAGTTTGGGAACCACTGGTCTAGGCTGTCTGCAGCCAGAGAGGTGCGCCCTCTGTCTGCAGGCTTTATGAATCCAGTCACCACATGAGCATAGCCACCCAAACCCTAGGTGGCATATTCACCATCAGTTCCAGTGAAGATTATTTACCCAACATCCATTCATCAGAATGTAGACAAAGGAAAAGGTTTTGGGGCTTATTTAGAAATGCTACTAAATGGCTCTGCACTGTCTGGCTGGTGGCTGTTTGGACATTTTGAATCTGCAGTGTACTTTTGAGCTTTTGGCCTTCATTTTGAGCTGCACCATATATTGAATCAGAGTCATCAGGCTGTGTGGTATTACCAGGAGAAGTCACTGGAAGATTTTGCTGAATTTCAGGTTCCATCCATTCAAGTTTTATTAGTATACTTGACCAGCTGGATGGAGCTTTGCCATCCTTAATGGACACATTTGATCAGAATTTTGGTGAACGAAAGGCTAAAGCTCAATGAAAGTAGGGCGGGGAGTGGTCATAATGATGGAGGAGAGCTGCACATGTGTTGTTTGGTCATGTGACAGTGATGCAGCACAGGATTGTGGGATGTTTTAACTGAAGCAATGTTTGCGGTGTGGTCGTTTTTCACATTGTTGAAAAGGTAAAAATGTATATCATATCACTAAATATTGGTTAAAATGACAATATTAATGTTATCAGTATTGGTTCACATTTTTCCTGTTTGTGCATCCCTAACAATCTCCATTTTCTACATTCTAAAAAATCCAAACATTGTCAAGAAAATGATTTGCTGGTAAAAGGGGCAGAAAATTCTATCACAATATAGATGTTTCATATCAGTCAATATCAGTAATTGTTTATTATCAATTACTGCCAGTCCTGCCAAACTGGTGACGTAACTTTTCCTGTTTTATCCAGTTTCCTCTCTGGCTCTTCTGCTCGTGTTCACCTGTCGCTCCTCGTCGTTGTTTTTGTAGTTTGAAGCAGTTATGAGGCGCTTGTGAAACCTGAAACTACTGCTGTGCAAGTTACTCAGCAGGTTGTTGCTAAGTAACCAGTGAGTCAGTGAGTGAGTTGATGCCACCACTCTTGATTAGCTAGCTGGACATGAGAGGTTGAGATCCTTTCCTCTGGCTACATCTCCCAGAATGCTTTGCATTTCTGTATCAGAATTTATTGAAATTATTGGCCGTTCTACCGGACGTATTTTCTGTTAATATTGATCTGGTCTGTGTTATCAATTCATTGTCTAGTCCTATAGATAGAAACATGAAAATGTTTGCAACAATATAGCTCTTACAAAACAGACACTTTCTCCTCATTTCTCTCCAAACTGAAGAAGGATGAGTTTGACCTCAGCATTCGACAAAGTTGTGCTCTGGTGCTGGTGTGAGTAGGTGATGCATACAGGTGAGGATCCCTCCCCTGCTGCGAGACGGGATGAGGCTGTTTATATCCGTGTCAGGCCGGGGGATGGAGCTCTGACCCGACGACCCGCGGGGTCCGGATGGGCTCGCTGCAGCTAAACCCTCTCAGCAGCTTATTTCATGGATTGCTGCCTCCTCTTGGGCTGAACAAGTGCAAATCCTTGGCTCTGTTACACTATGGATGCATTCAGCAGGCATGCACAGATAATCACTCTTTCTTTGAAATCAATACCAGCTCTCTCACAGCCGTGTTCCATTTATCTGGCATGAGCACAAGCTGTAAAATCATTAAGGTTTAGTTGCTTATAGATTCGATGCTCTGTTGGCTTTTCTCACGCTGGAAGCAAATGACTACACATTGATGGCGTGTTCAGACTGAATGCTCTGGTTGAGTGGGACAGTGTAAAGCAGAGGAGCTATTTTTAATCGGAGCTGAATGCATTAGGGTCTAAAATAACTTCAGCACAAGTTAATCAGGCTAGATCTTCCGGAATAATATTGTGAAGCATCTATGCCATAGCAAATGACAGCATATTAATGCTATAATACTGTTGTTTAATGAATGACCAGACATATTCATGAGCAGTGTACAGCGAAGTGTGTGTGTGTGTTGATGTGTTTTTATCTAAAGTGATGCCTGCAGCGTCGGGCTTTGATTTTGCACAACGTAGCAGCAGCCGTTCATCTGAACAATGGAGCCAGTGGAGCAGCTGCCCCCACCACAACTCCCCTCCATAAAGGTCAGGGAGATGTTAAAAAAAAAAAACAACAACACAGCTTTTACTGCCTCACTTTGTGACTGAAAACACCCCTGCAGTCAGACTAACTTTCTGGATTGTAAATTTTCATCTCACTTTTCCCCACTGACTGTAATGTTTGTACCAGAAATAATCGCTAAACCCACCCAGTTATTGTTATGAATGGCACCTCGTACTCCCACTGCCCCACTCACAAACACACAGTCACCTGAGAAGACCATTGTGTCTTTAAGGGTTAAAATATGTAGTTTTGATAAATTTGGTCAAAGTGAAATTGAAACGAGAGCTGTACAATGTATGAAACTGAAGTTGGAATATCAATATGTTGAATATTGCCATTGCTAAGAACTGCTTGGATGCAACATTGTTCGGTCCGTACATATTGATGGTTTGTTTTGTCTGTTGTGTGGACTCTAGCTGGCCTAAATGCCATAACTAAGCATATATATTTTTCTTTTTGGCTGAGATCCTAAAACTCATTTAAGGTGGTGGAGACGATAGTAATGCTAAAGTAATATAAGTTATATTTATATTTACATGTGCTTACATGTTTAAAACAACAAGGACGTCTTAAATACACATTTCCTGTGTTTACAGTTTTAAATACTCAAAACCTTTCAGAAGCTAGTGTCAGTAAGACCACGACTTGCACAGCTCCAGTAACAAAACGTCATGCCTGTTCATGTAAACACCATGTGAAGAACCTTTATCGCATTTGCTTCGGATAAAAGAAAACTTTTTTTGTATGTTCTTTTTGGGGGGTTATTTTACTAATTATTAAAACCTCTCTGTTTCTTAAAAATGTAATAAATTGTGCAGTACTGAAATCCTCAGCATACAGCATGCCGTTTCTGTTTGTTGATGTTTGTGTTTGCAGTCTGCAGCAGATCTGCAGGTGGGAGGAAGGCTAACACACCAGTTGATGTGAGTGGGATTCTACAGGGAGCAACGTCCTGCCTGTTTAAATGAGCCAGCCCTGTTTGTTGATGTGGAGTCTGTTAACAAACTCCTGTGCAGGAATCCACTAGCAGAGGTCAAGAGAACAGGACTGGACTACATTAACGATACCCTGAGGGAGGGGGTTGGGTTGTATGTGCAGTAAGGCCAAATCAATGCTCAGTCAGAGCCATGCTTTGAACTTTTCATGTAATATGCATTCAGGAGAAATGGGACATAATGTCTTTAGTTTGACTTTTTTTATATCTTTACTGCTGAAATAAATGTTAAAAACAAGTATTCATGATGACTTTTAGATGATAAATGTCCTGCATTTACCATTTATCAGGTCCATAGGACCTCAAAGTGCTTTACACTGCATTCAGTCCTTCTCTCAATCACACACTGATGGTGGTGAGCTACAGGATAGTAGCCACAGCTGTCCTACGGAAATCTGGCAGGTGAAGCTGCCCTGCATCGGCGCCACCAGGAGGCAAGGCAGTTGAAGTGTCTTGCCCAAAGACAAAATGACAGAGGGACAAATTGGGATCTCAAACCGGCAAACTCACTGATCACGGGACAAAGTCCTGCCATCCTCCCAAATTTTGGGGAAAATGAAGATGGTCTTTATGAGAATATAGGGGAATATTATCCTGATGTCAGAATTCTTCTGAAAATATAAAAGCCATCTTGGGAATAAATTAGTCTAAGTGGGTTTGTTTAGTCTACTTGTTAGTTGTTCTTTCATGGATGTTTGAGAAATCTTTGAATCTCCCATGGCAACCACTCAGGGGGCCTAAGTTCTTTGTTGGAGCTGCAGTCTCGGCTGAGTTTCTGCCTCACCACTCCGCTCCTCCAGACTAGTGCAGCAGCAGTTAGCGAACACCTGGTGGACCTGAGCATACCATATGAACTACTTCTCTTTGCTAAGCTCCTAAGAACATTGTTTAAGGCTTAATGAAGAAACATTGTTGTAATGACATGTTAAAGAAACACCATGTCAGAAAGTAAAGGAGCTTCTTAAAGCGACAGAGGCCCAATTTCAGGGTGTAAAATTGCAAAGTCAAATTTCTTTTTGATGCTTAATTTTTATAACAACTGAAGGTAACATAATTATTTGATTGTGCCATTTCATAGCATAATGTGCATGAAAAATACACAATGCTTCTCCCCACACCGTCTTCCTAGTAATGACTGTTTAGTTGAATGTTCTGTCGGCTGTCTGTCAGGCCTTTGTGCTGCTGAGGTGGCCTACTTTCATACATGTTGCAGGCGAAGTGTCTGATCAGATGTGACAGACACTTGATAATTGATAATTTGGTCACAGTGTGTGTAACTGCAGCCTGGGGTCATTGGAGCTCCGCTGCAGCTAAATGATCATGCACGATGTTCCTGCAGAGCTCCTGGCAGACAATCTGTGTTTTCAACACTACGATTTTATTGTAGGAAATGATCAGTTCTGGATGTTTGGGTTGCAGAATCAACCTCACATCTACACACATCGTTTGGTTTGTCCTGGTGTCTGTCTCTGCCTTGTGGAGCAGAGTTTAGTCATGAAGAAATGTCTCTCAATTTACTATCATTTGTTTCCTTATTGCAGAACGACTCTTGAATGTGCACAAGCACTACATTGATGTGTGTTCATGCTAGTGAGAGGATTTAATACAAAAAAACCCCCCGCACACTACCACACACTCCAACAGTTTCACTTTGACTTTCTGACCATGTTTTCATTCCATCCTTGTTCTCTCTTGCAGTGGAGAAATGCATGAGCTCGATGCAGATCGGGACCCAGATGGTGAAGCTCCGTGGCGGCTCCAAGGGACTGGTGCGGTTCTTTTACCTGGATGAACACAAGTCCTGCATCCGCTGGCGGCCGTCACGCAAGAACGAGAAGGCCAAGAGTGAGTGACAGATGTAGGATGGGTTGCTCCTGTAGGGTCAGGGCCTCGCCATAGAGTTCATATGCAGGGGAAACTTCAGGTAACTTCTGTTGCCATGCAACCAGCCTGAGTGTAGCTTCTCCCTGTGCTGCTATATGCCGTCCTGTCACTAAAGTCTACATTGAGGCCTTGATGATGTGAAATTCAGCCTTTTCTGCAAGCAGATACAGTCATCAGTTTCTGTTGAGTTTTTGAAACAGCAGATAAATAGAAAATTTGACACACACACTGTCAGATGGAGATCCCCATCCTCTGTTTATTTGTCGTACAATGTGAAAGTATTCCTCACCTTACAGAAACAAAATGCAGTTTATATATAATAATTAAAGGAACACTATCAAAATCTACTTGGCTCCACCAGGCAGACAGCTTACATGTTATAAAAAAATACTATTTGATTTAATCAACTGGTATACTTATCTGTGAAGGGGTTTGGACTACGAGACTCAATCCATGGCTTCAAAACAAAAGTCTTTACAAAAGAAAATGAAAGCTGTCATGTTGGAATACAACATTATAGACATCTTGAGGAGTTTATATCCAGCAAGCCGGGATTATTCTAATTTCTCCCATGCACATACATTATACTCCAGAATAGATCATTTTTTGCTTTTAAAAAAGATGACCATAATGTTTGTAACTGTGAGATGGGCAACACTGACCTCTATGAACATGCCCCCTATTATTAAATTTAAAATTAGATGAGGACCTCACGAATACACAGTGGAGATTAAATATGACTGAACGACTTACACTTTACAGAACTAATCAAATCTGACATAAATATATTGCTAAAAGAAACCCTTAATGGAGAGGTTAGTCCAGAAATAGTCTGGGACACGAAAAACAGTTATGAGGGTTAAAATGATAAGAGAACAAACCACCTACATTATCAGAAGAGGCCGAGACAAAACAGGAACAAAAACTGGAACATAATGAAAGCTCAAAATATTAAGAAATAAAATTAATGCAATGTATTTACAAGAATTGTGAAAAAATACCGAACAGGAGCTTCTATGAATCTGGGGCTAAGTTTGCCAGAGAAAATTACAAAAGCAATGTAATATAATTTAGAGGTGTAACAACACATTTCTCAATAATGGATAAAAGTCAAATAAGAGATTTTCAGAACGAGTTATAAGTTGGTGCAACAGGATTTCTACACATTCTACAGATGGGACTATCTCAATCTGGAAATTATTAGACATCTGGACGAGCAGGAATCAGTGCATGGTGAAATACTAATTCCATATCAGGCAAAATCCAAAGAGACTATATAAGGGACTTATGAGTAAAAAACCACATTCAACCTCGTGTGAAAACAAAATGGGAAAAGAAAAGTAAAATGGAAATCACCAAAGAGAGCATTGAAATGTACAAACTCCTATTCATGGAGAGAATTTATTTGGAAATGCAAGCTTAGATTTTTTTTTTTTTTAGACCACCAGAACAAAAACTTCTTGTACTAGAGAGGAGGCAACATAAAAACACAGAACCAAACCACTGGCTTATTTTACATCTGTACAGTTAAAAGATTATATTGCACAGGAATACACAAAAATATCAAAAGTATTTTTAATCCCAAGGGGGCTCAGGGGATCAGTTTCCTGTGGTTCCCCTCCTCTGTAGTTCTGGGAATAATAAGCTTCTTAAGTCAGTTTAATTATTCATCAGCTTTAATCTGTCCAAACAGTGTTTTACACACCAGCCCTAACATAAAAATAACCCACACAACGTCACTGACAAACCCGTAGAACTGCAGACTTGTTTTAAATTGAGGTAGTAAATGATGGTGGGGGGGCTGGTTGGAACTCATTAAGACTCTTGATGTCCTCTAAATGTGTCTGTGAGCAGATGTTCTCGTTGCATCAGAGCATAATGAATGAACGAGGCTAAAAAGTCATCCTTGCTGTTTTATGGTTGAGAAAATCTGGATATTTACCAATTATTAGAGCCCAGAGAGGATTTGAAAAATGCAAAGTGTTAACACTATGACCTCATTAAGGACTTTAAAACAAAGTGCTTGTGATTACTACTCTGAAAGGTTTTTCTTTCTGTGCTTCCACTAATAATGCCAGAAAGATAACTGCAAAAGAATAATGTGGAGAAAATCACTGTGCTGGCAAAGAGGGCTGGGAGATGCAGCACAGTGTAAGAGTTTCATGTCAGTAAATATAATTAATCATTGATAGGCCATTTTATTTCAAAGCCGCTGACAAAACCTGAAACTGCTATGCAAGTTACTCAACAGGTTGTTGCTAGGTTAGCGAGACTGAGTGAGTATGCCTACATTCAGATAGCAGGCTAATGCGACCTCCATCCGGCTTTTTCACGGCGGTCTGAACGGCCCAATTCTAACCTTTTCTCCAGGAAAAAAAAATCTGATCTGCGCCACTTCCATATGTGGAACGTAGTTTTCAAAGCATCAGCAGTCAGATTGGCCATGTCTCATTTTGACATTCATGCCATTGATGTGAAACGTGTCTGAATTCTGCACCAGAAGAAGCCGGACGCAGTAAATCAGGAGGTGAACAATGGCTGACCATTATAGCCGTGAAGTGTCTCCCATCCCAATCCCACCAGTGCTTCTCCGACAACACATTCAAACAGGTTTCTGTAAAGAAGCTGCAGTCAGTGCTCCACTATATTGCAGTTATCTGGGCTTCCTTCATCTTATGATTTTGTACAGGTACTGTCTGTTCCCATTGCTGAATAAACCTTTCGGTTGAAGGTTTTAATAGATTTGCTCAGATATGATTTGTCTTAAAGATACATCAACAATATCTTCAAGAATTTCATAAAGTCGCCTGCTTACCAGAGATTTGGTTTGATTTTTGTAAGTGAATAAAATCATTTTATAACAGAACAACTCTGTCAATGTTGTTGTAATATTTCAGTAACACTGTCCTGATATTTAATGTCAATAAAATAACGTTCAATCACTTTTTGACTTGTTTGATGCACTTTAAATAATGAACTCTACTACCACACATTCTCGTCTATTTATTTAGTCGAGAGGTCAGGGGTTATTTTTTAAAAATTTTATTAAAAAGCAGTGCATCTTGCAATCTTACTGCAAGGTCTGTCCATATTCTACAGCCAACATTAAAGAGGGCCATACAGATTGACCTGCCTAGTATAATTTTGATGGGTTTTTTTTATGTTGTTTTGATACAAGTGTCTCCTTTAAAAAAAAAAAAAAAAAAAAGTATGTGTTTTGTATTGAGGTTATCTTCTTCAGTTAAATGAACTTCCTGTTTTCTCAGTCTCCATTGACTCCATCCGTGAGGTCTGTGAGGGAAAACAGTCTGAGATCTTCCAGCGGTATGCAGATGGCAGCTTTGACCCAAACTGCTGCTTCAGTCTGTATTACGGAGAACACATGGAGTCCCTGGACCTGGTATCTGGAACAGGAGAGGAGGCCCGGACCTGGATCACTGGCCTCAAGTACCTGATGGCCGGGATCAGTGACGAGGACAGCTTGGCGAAGAGGCAACGCACCCGCGACCAATATCCTTCACCGAGTCATCAGTTAGAGACATTACAACACTGATGAGGCTCTGTCCCACATTATTATTATATATTGGAGGAACATTTTGTGCTGTTCTTCAAATCGATGCATCACATTTTTTGTTCAACTTTCCTTAACCAGAGTTTTGTCACGTGGCTGAAGCAGACGTTCACTGAGGCTGATAAAAACGGCGACGGGAGTTTAAGCATCAACGAGGTTCTTCAGCTTCTGCATAAACTCAACGTCAACCTGCCTCGACAAAAGGTCAAACAGATGTTCAAGGTACTGATGAAAGCTGACGCTAAATTTCTTGGTTTTCTAGTTTTAGTACACTTGCACTGATGTGCACAAGCCTTCATCTCTGTTTTATTATGATCATGTTTAGTTTAAACCCAAAACCAATTGAAGCACAGTATTTAAGAATAGAATACATCAGATCAATAAAGAATATTTTAATGCAGAAATGCTGACTTAATACTTGTTTATATCACTGGTTGTTGGCTAAAAGTACCAATAATCTGACAAACATTGGACTGCATACTTTTTTAATCATAAAATTGTAAATTAATGGGTTTTTTTAACTTTTACCCTTTTACCCCTGTTGCTTTGATAGAATAATTCACTTATTCACTTTTACATTCTCATCTTCAGGTTTGTTTTACTCAAAAAACAAATCAGAAAAAAGCAGCAATTATTGTAATGACTCCTAAATATGAATGTAAGACTGCAGTCCTACATTCCTGAGTCCTACAATCAGGAACGTAGTGTTTCTCCAGGGGAAAGTCTGCAGTCACTGAAGAACTGCAAAAAAGGCATTTGTTTCATAAAACTGATACCTTCTAGGATTGTTAATATGAAGAACCAAAACTAAAAAAAGGTGAAATATATATATATAGTTTTTGTTTTTCCTTTTCCTTACACGTGTTGTCATCAAGAAATTAAAATGCATGCTGTTTTTTCTTTCCCTTATACATAGGTTTGTCAAGAAATGCATAGACTTTATTTGGTCTTTTTACTTTTACATCAAGAAATGTATTTTGTTTTGCCTTTGCCTCATACATGCATTTTGATTAAAACTAGAACTACTAACCAACTTCAGCGGCCGCTTCACTTAAACCATCAAAAACCTGACAGTGGACCTCTTCTAACTGAAACACATGACCTGTCCGAGCATCAACAAGGAAAACAATAAAGTCAGGAGTTATAGCGTTTTTTTCAAAAAAAAAAAAAAAAAAAAGTTGCTAAGCTTCAACTCAACTTTAGGGTTGAATGTAGGATCTTAAACATAGTCAGCCTTACTAAATAATTCTTTATTTTTGTTTGAATATCTTGTCTATTTCTTAAAGGATACTACAGCTTTGAAGCTGCCGTAGTGGTGGAGTCTAGTGACTGACTCCTAACGTCAAGAGGTTTATTTAGTGACTTTAACTGCTATAAGTACTTCCTTCCTGGCAGATTGTGAATGATCAGTGAAGACGGTGACTGCTGCAGATGTTGGCTGACATGCAGCACAGGGATTAGCATGTTGACCTGTTAAACATGTTGTTTTAGCCCTCTTCCTCCAGAGCAGGCAGCCAGTTGGCTTCCCCTAAGACCAGTGTCCTGAGCACGTTCTCCATATGCTGCTCCTGGGACACAGATGGCCTGCTCTGTAATGCGGCATAAACACACTGGGCACCAATCTGGCTCTGTGTGTGTTTGTGTGTGTGTGGACATCAATGCAGATTTGTGTGCCTGCAGTCACTAGGCTCCTTTCTTGGCTTAACCTTATTAGAGTCTTTACCTGTCTGTATATTGGCTCTGCCATAATGTGAACTAATATGCAACCATATGCAATACAAGAAATGTAAAATAGGATTGAAAAAGTATCAATCTAGTTAATTTGTGATCTGATTTAATGGATGTAAAAGTAGCTATATCAGAGCTGAGCAGTTCAATGGCTGCTGGAAAAGAAAAAATGTTTTGTTATCGGCTGCAGTACAAAGCATGTGTCCATTTTCTCCCAGTCACAGAAAACAGAGCTGTGTGGCTTTATTTTATTTTTGCTTGCAGTGGCCAAAGAAAGTTGTAGTTTAGGAAGGAGTCCTTTGAAAACGACCAGCATTACACAGCAGGATTTACCAAAATACTTGAACTGAAGGAAGGTTGTGTTCCTACTGTTCTTCACGATTTTGCAGATGATTTTCATGTAAGCACGTCTTCTGTGACTCGTATTGTTGTTGGGCACTAACATAATTTGACATTTAGCACAAGCTAACGCTGAATGATAGCCTCTGCTAGTCCCGTGTCTCATGCTACATTACTCATAATATCTGCTAATATCTGTGTATTTACTGTCGAAATTATAGTAAACTGAAAGTGATGGTCTACATTGAGAAGATGCAGTGTTTGTGAAAACATGTCGAACGCTCAGACATTGCCAACACTGAGGTTTTTTTTTTGTTTGTTTTTTTTGCATGTTGAGAGAAGTGCTTCTCCTCTAACCTCGCAAATGTATATTTTAAAAAAGGTTGTACTTGTGGGGAAAGAAAAAACGTTTTGTGTGCTGAATTATTGTGCTGCTGGACTTCACATCACAGCACATTGAAGCAGAATCCTCAGACTCTGAATTAATAACGATATAAATGTGTTTCAGAGCCACAGCATTTAATCCTTCAGTGGTTGTGGGTTGATGGTTATTCAGGATGCTCTTCTTCTTCTGCTTCAGGGTCAAAGATGTGTGTTTGTGCCACTGTTCATGTGTTCGTAGCTTTTTTCACACGTCTGAGGTGCTAATGTAAACACTGAGTTAGGACTGCGAGACCAACAGTAACTTATTTACATAGTCGTGACATAGCCCTAAAACGGCGCGTTCCTAAATGAGCTCAAGACAGGCAGAACTGATCTGGTGAAATCTCAAATGTCTGAGAATTATATTGTGTATTAAAAATAATGAACATGTTTTGTAGGGCACAGACCCATTTAGCTTGTTTAAGGAAGCATAACACTGGACCTTTAAAACAAAGAAGTAAAATTTATGTACATTTTATTTAAAACACAAAAGCAACTACAATTCTTTATGCTGCTAAAATATAATTGTATTTTACAGCAATAATGATGTTATTGGTAAAATGTACGATTTTGACTGATGGAGGCCTGGTGAGTAAAAGTCAGCTATTCCTAGTTCAGGTTTTCTTAAATTCTGCTTCAGTTGCAAGTAGTGTGACTATTTCAGCTGAAACAGTGGGAATCTTGGAAAACCCCTGCTGAATTTACATGAACAGGCAGTTTTTAAGAGGCCATATTGTGCAGAGTATTATCCCCGTTTTTAAAAGGCGTGCTGCACACATACGCTGTAAGGAAGGAACATGTGGAGGAGCACTCTGCTCAGGAATAGGTGTGCAAGAACGGTGCTGCTCTGCTTATTACTGGTGGAGGAAACTGGTCAGTTTGCCACTTTATCTGGAGACTGAAGGATTTTAAGCTGTAGGAATGTTGTGATAACAAAGTTCTGTGGTACCGGAGCCACTTGATACCAGTAGCACCGGGTCTGTATTGAGTGTATTCTATAAAACTCAAAACCTAAGAGACTTTCACTTCCTGCTCCGTGATAAGTAAGTAATTACTGACTAACAACAAAAAAGGATATTGGAGCCATTTCATCACCTGGGTGACCATGATGATTTTCCTTGTTGCCTGGCCTGTTGTAGTGACCAACTAAAATGTGATATTGCAGAACTTAATAACAACCAAAGCTTAAATGTACAAGGGACAGTTAAACTTTGTAGGCAGAGGCAGCAGCAGCTCTGCTAAGTGGTGAATTATTACCTCTGTCAACTCTCCCAAAGAACAAGCCTTCTTAGCACTTAAGTTCATGCATAAAACATGGTGGAAGCAAAAAAGGCTCAGAAGCTTTGTGGGTGTTCCCCAGCTGCGCTTCCACTGCTTTGTTACCCTGCTGGCTTCACGATGTGTTCTGAGTGACAATAATTGTAAATATGTATGCAAATGAACACATTTTTATGCCTTTCATCCCTTTTAGTGTAACTTCTGACTGCTTTTTGCCCGTATTCCAGTATAGAACAAAGCGCGAGTGCAGCATCTCTGTTAACTCTTGGAAAATATCTACTTGGACTGTGCTTGTCACTTTGTTATTGGACTGTCACAACTTAGCAGCGTCTATGTGCGATGTGCTCCAAGCTGTGCAAATATCTCAGCAGTACTGTTGTCCAGTCTCTCCGTTCCTATGTAAAATAAATTTTGTGTCTTGTTGGAAGGTTTTCGCCCACCAGGAAAAGTATGTAAAGACCATTTTTGGAGTATCTTCTTCAAAATTGTTGTATGATCTATACATTTTATGTAAACTACAACTAAAGCCCTCAGCTAATGAAACTCCTTCGCAATCCTGCTCAGGGTCTACAGGAGTTAGCCATGTCAGACTACACATAGTATCTGCTGCTCTTGGATCAGTGTTGTTCTTTTTTTAACCACTCAGTGCTAGCAGAGGCCAAACTCCAGCTGGCACAGACGTCAGCAGTGTCCCGTATGTGGCTGCCTCCAGTGCCGTTTGGCATATGGACCCTTTATGGGCAGGATCACATGAACAGTAGTGTAGAATAATGTGTTGCTTATGATTATAGTCCAAAAATACCTAATAAAATGACCTATATCAAGACAGGGAACAGACAGGATAAGTGGATAAAACCTCCTTTTTGAGTCTTACCAAAATAACCTGACAGTGGTCAATTCTCCTCAGCATCAAATTGAATAGATTCCCACACAGGAAGAGAGGTGGATTAAGAGAGTGGAGTGAAGGAGGCCATCTAACGTTAAACATGAAAAAGAAACACTAAATGGAGGTACTCTGCAGCCCACACTCATCTCTCCAGGTGCTTTTTCAGAAATGCCATGCTGTGTTCTAGATCTATGCAGATAAAATGTTAGCTGGGATGTTAATCTGGTGGGATAACAACTTCTCTGTATGATTGCTGTAGGAGGCAGACACAGATGACAAACAGGGAACTTTGGGGTTCGAGGAGTTCTGCTCCTTCTACAAGATGATGTCGACCCGCAGGGATCTGTACCTGCTTATGCTCACCTACAGCAACCACAAAGACCACCTGGACACAGATGACATCACTCGCTTCCTGGAGACTGAGCAAAAGGTAAACATGTGCTTTCATTGTGGTTATGAAAAGCTTGCTAATTTCTTACAACATTGATGGACAGTAGCTGTAAATGAGTGCACAAAGGCCTCCTTATGTACATGGACATCAGAGAAAATCTGACTGTCTTGGAAGTCATTTCAGAAAGTGAAGCTGGTGTATTGTATAGAGTCATCACACACAAAGGGATATATATTTCACAGCGCCTTTATATTTTAAATGCACTAAATACTCCTTTTGCATGAATTATTGCATCAGTGTGGCGTGGCGGAGAAGTGATCAGCCTGTGGCTCAGCATAGGTACTCAGGAAGACCAGATTGCTTTGATCTGTTGCCTTCATCTGCCTTGTTGGGTCTGGGGTCTCTCATCTTCCTCTTGACAACAGCCTGACGACTGCTCTCTGTGGGGCTCATATCAGGCCAGCCTGCTGGCCAATCAAGTACAGGAACACCATGACCACTGAAGCAGCTGTTGGTAGCTTTAGCACTGTGGGCTGGTACCAAGTCCTGCTGGAAAATGAAATCAGCATCTGCATATTGTTTGTCAGCAGAAGGAAGCATAGATAACTCTAAATTATCCAGCTAGATGGCTGTGTTGACTGTGGACTTAAGAAAACCTTGTGGACCAGCACCAAGTAACGTCCCAACACCAAATTCTTCAAAGTATTTTTGCTTGACCATCCTCTCAAAGCTGCAGTTTTCTCTGTGGGACCTTTTCCATCCACTGAATATGCTTGGAAAAGTCGCTCTGAACAACCAGCATCTTTCAGTCTTATCTGTTACCACACAGGTCACTTTCTTTCTAAATTCAAAAAGCTCTCAGCACTTCAGGGGCTAAATCAATTAACCATTCAATCAATCAAGTTTATTTGTATAGCATATTTCAGCAAAAAGGCAGTTCAAAGTGCCTTTTGTCATAAAAACACAAAAACAAAAAGTAAAAAAAAAAAAAACACATAGTCACCAACTGAGAAACTAGTAATGAACATTACATTTAGTTGAGTGCCATCATCAAAAGTTAAAGTTGGCAGTTTGATGCAGTTTGTAGTAATAATGGGCATGGGCTCATTTCCACTAGATTACTGAGAGCTTTATGATAGAATGAATGTTGTTTGTGATGGAACCACATTGATGGTCATTAAGTCTAAATTTCTTCTCAAAACTTATTTTTATTCGTTGGTGTTTAGTTGAGGCCCAATACTGCAACTTTTCTGTTGCAATGTTTTAGTTTTATTTTCTTTTTGTCCATTTATTTTATTGTGTTATTGTCTTTGTATAGCACTTTGGCTCAGTTTTAACACTGACAAAGTGACACATGAGTGTGTGCTGCCACTCCTCTTTAATGATCACCAGCTTCAAACAGCAGCTCCAAGGCACCAGGCTGACTGTTTTTGTTCACCAGTCAGGATGGATAGAACAATGACATGGAGGCACCTTAGACAACTTCATTTATTCTTGAAAAAACGGTCTACTTTTTTGGGAAACAAAAGTATAATAGATCTTTTAGAGATGGTGTTTCCTCATTTTGCAGATGACAAAGGTGACCAAGGACCACTGCTTGGAGATCATCAACAAGTTTGAGCCGTGCTCTGAAAATCAAAAGCAGGGCGTTTTGGGAATTGATGGTAAATATACATGAATTTTACATGTAGTTGTTTTGGTTTAGGTTTGGTTCTAATTTAAGTTTCATATATATAGTAGTTTCATACATACTTGAAATAAGACAAAACTAACTTACAAGTAACTTTTCAACAAGATATCTCACCGTTTTAAGTCAGTAATTCCTTCATGTTAATGAAAAAGTTCATAGGTAAGTAAGTAAAATTATCTATAATGTTTCCCTTCTGTGTTAAATGAATAAAGATTAGTGGGTAGAGGGCATCGTCTTACTGAACTCTATTCACAGCTGCTTTCTTCAGATGATGTGATTGGAAAGGCTGGTCAGGATTTTTACGTCATTTAAATGCTGGTGCAGCCTTTAAATATTAGCCCGAAGTCAACATTACACCGAGATCACATGCAGAATTTCAGAAACCGACAGAAAAGATGTTTTAAGAGATAAGATGTGGTCCTCTGGCTTTGGAAACTCACATTGGCTCTGTTTTTACAGCACTGGTTATTGGTCTGTTGTTAAATAATTTGATAAACCTTATTATGAACTATAAAACTGTAGGACAGTATCTGTGACAGCTGTGTCTGTAAGGTGTTCCTATTAAAAGTTCACCTTGGAAATACTGAAAAGTGACGTTAGAGTCCATGATAATAATTTGTGCACCTGCCAGTAGAACTTTCCAACATTTACAAACAGAGTTCAGTCGAAACAATTTGATTTTGTTGTAGGTTTTACAAACTACATGCGCAGTCCAGCTGGGGACATCTTCAACCCAGAGCACTACAACGTGAACCAGGACATGACCCAGCCGCTGTGCAACTACTTCATCGCCTCATCGCACAACACCTACCTGATGGGAGACCAGCTGATGTCCCAGTCCAGGGTGGATATGTACGCCTGGGTGCTGCAGGCAGGCTGTCGCTGTGTGGAAGGTGACTGTCATAACAGTAATAATAATAATTTCTTATTTCTGCAGCAAGCAGGAGAGAAGATTTGCTTCTGGTTATGGGTCTGTTTGGCTGGAAAACGTTAACATAGGGATAATATTTCAGATTGTAATTAACCCACATTTTCATTCTAAATTATCCAGTTAAAATGTTTTGCTTTTTTTTTTCCTTTGACGTTTGTTATGGAATAAAGATGTGAGTTTTATTGCATCAACAAAATCTAGAATGTTATGGCTACAGACTTGCTGTAATATGAGAGCTGTGTTTCAGTAAAGCAGATAATTAATCTGCAAACATTATGTTGCCAGAGTGCTTGTGATTGTTAGAGGCTCAAATACTGCAGTCTAAATGCAGAGTATTTAGCATTTATCTCCCCCACAGTCTGCCTCCATTCAGTGGAAGTGTGGTGTGTGGGAATGTTCCTTGTTGTTGTCTTCCAAATGCGTTGGACTAGAAGAACAAAGAGTGTTGTGTCTAGTGAGCATTTGGAGCTTAATTTGTCTTTGTAGCATGTTGAAGGCAGATCTATAATTGAACCCCCACCCACTTTACATCTGTATCTACCAACACTCAGTCCCACTCAAAGTTAAAGTTAGAGAAGCTGTTCATATAAATACGTCTCAGGTTTGTTTTTAGCAGCTCCCTCTGCTGGAAGACGATGGTTCTCCTCTCCCAGGTTTTAATAAAACATTGAATAGTTTCTGCATCTTTCAACGTTTTCTCTGTTTGAGGCAGTGTGTGTGCAACGTTACCTGTTAAAACCAATCTGTTTCATCCAGGTTAAAAATCATGACGAAAATAGAGAAACTTTGAGCATAAAGCCATTTATAGCTTATGTTTCAGATTAAGAAATGTTTTATTTTGTGATGGGGAAGCAAAGCAGCCCTTATGCTTCTAAACATTGCAGTGTGGTCCTCTAAATGTATATTGATGGACTGATGGAGGCCATATTGACTCGTTTTATGTGAAACAGTCTGATTGGAACTAATCGAGTGTCTCTGCATAGTGACATTTTATCTCATCTAAATGTTTAATATTTAATCCAAATGGAAATCATTAGGCGTCTCTGTCTCCAATGAGGAAATTGCTTTGTAATCGTTGTTCAGATTGGTGGAAAATGCTAAATTGAGAACTTGAACAAGAAGAAACTAAATTCTAAGAGTAAATTGGCAATAAAACAAATCTCAATATTTTTTTCTGAATAGCAAAACGTTACATGAAAGCTGCACATTTTGTTACCTCCCAGGCCTAAAAGCTCCTTTATTTTAAGTGTGGAACCATTCCCATGCTCAAAAATGTCAACTATGAACATTTCCACCGAATGTCTTCACCAAATTTCACCTGATATTTGAGGTACTACATTTGACGCAGCTCTACTGAAAACGGGCTTTTAAGTCCTACTGAAATTATATTTAAATGAAATCTAATTTAAACTCAGTGGGTTTAAATTGCAAGTCAATCAAATGGCTTCAGTTGTAACTAAAGAAACCCAGCACATGCTTTCTTTTCCATAACATTATCTCTTCGTTGCCAGAGTAATAGTCTGTTTATTTAGATGATCTGCCAATAATTCATCCTTTCACTTACAAAGGTATTATGATGATGGAAGTAAGCTGCAGGTCTGATAACTGCAGCTGTCTTCAACCAACCTAGAGTCATTCAGAACTTGGCAAACAAGATCTTAACTTTAACTTCTTAGTTAAAGTAGCATAAGGATCTTACTTTCAGTACTGAACAATCAAGCGAAGAGGAGCAGTTTTTCACATGTCAGCTGACCAGGTTTGCAGGAGCAAATAAAAAACAACTTTGTGGTTAACGGATTACCTGAAGATAAAAAAGGTTTTGGGTTATGATGTCTTGACTTCACCAAAACTAAAATCAGCCAGTGGTTCTCAGACACTTTGATCCTTTTTCTCCTCTTGTTGTTTTCGTCCCTTTGCAGACTTGTCACAATCAGACGCCTTCTTTCACTCATGTTTTGTCAGCTTAGGAAGAAAACAGTCTTATATATGCAAATAATGAAATTATTTGCATACATCCCCCTTACTCTATCATAAGCTCTTCTGCTCAGTGTATCTGTGCTGTCATTTTCCCGCAGTCGATTGCTGGGACGGCCAGGATGGAGAGCCCATCGTGCACCATGGTTACACCCTGACCTCCAAGATCCTTTTCAAAGACGTCATCGAGACGATCAACAAGTACGCCTTCATCAAGACAGAGTACGTTGAAACTCTCTAGTCTCCTCTCGTTTCATCATCTGGCCCATAAATCCACTTTGAGGCAGTTGGAGCACTTCAGCAGCTCACCGTGTCATTTCCTCATGTTCTGGTAATGGTAACTAACAAAGCGTGAAGCGTGACCGTCTGCCACTGATAATCATGTTTATCGGGAGGCGTCGGTGCTGTCAGTTAATATTTCAGTGCTTAAAGGGAACTGAGGGATTTCTACCCAAATGTTTCACATCTAATTTCCTCTGATCAGAATGTGAGATTAACATTTTATAGAAGGTTAGAACAGCCAACCACAGTTTTGTTTTGTGGTTTGGATTAGCTTTATTTTTTCTTTTTTCTTTTTGAAAATCCTTAGTTTTAGTTTCTAATCGTGTTAGAAAGGTGTTTGTTACAAAGAACAGTCGAGACATAAATTATAAGCGTTTAGGCCTCTTACTTGCCAACAATAAGAACAGAGATTTACAAAATGTGCATGTCGGCGCATTTCCAACAAAGGAAATCATCTTGCTTAAATGAACTGTGTATGGCTTGTCCAAACATGTAAGGTGGGTGTTTTTGCAATAAACTCAATAGGAGTTTATTGACTATATAAACTCCTAGAAACGATTGTTCCTCATCTCACAGACATTCCTCGTCTCATTGTCAGGAAATGAACCTAATTTTCTGAACACTGTTACAATGAACAAGTTTCACTTCAGCCATCAAAAATTATGCTGTTTCGAATTTGAATTGTGGAATTAAAATATCAAAGGAACATCATGTAGAATAACAAGATAATAGTGATAATCAAAAGTAATGTAATTATTAAATGCAAATGGATTCTTGATATAATGAGTAACATGGATAAATTAATATAGATCAGTATCAAAAGCTGACCAGAAGATAGACAAAACAAAGGCAACAAATGTAACAATGCAATGAGGAAATATGTGATTCTAAAGTAATTAGCAAACATCTTTTCAAAGCTGTTTCAGTTAGTTTCTTTTTTGTAATGAAAGTTGTAATTTACCACAAATTTGATCTGGTTCCACTACAAGACTCCTGCTTTTATAACCATATAACTACTTTTCTCCAAAACGCAGTTATATTCACTGTAATCCCACACTGGATTCTGGTCCTTTTTCCCGACTCTTCCTGACACGAGGCAAGCTGCTGACAGACCAAGACGACTTCACTTACATACCTGCCATCTGCTGGCATAACGCAGTAGAACAAGCAAAACCGCAAGAGACACCAGACTTCATACTAATGAGACACAAAAACTAAACATTTTTTATATAAATTAATATTTTTTTATTTGGTGAATGCTCATTATAGTTTGTTAGTTTCCCTTTTTGTGCAAAGACTCTTTTTTATTATTTCAGTTAACAAAAATATTTTCTTAATTCTAGTTTTTGTTAACTAGCAGCTTTTGTGAACAATGATGATCTTTCAGCCATCCAGGGAAATATTCTGCTTTGTTTTCGGTCAGCAGTCCTCGACTTTGGTCCTGCACATTTTAGATGCGTGTCTGCTTTAACATCCTAACATCTACATCCTAAAAATTTGTATCCTGATTTTTAGGATTCTGTCTGTAAGCTTCCTGAATTATTGACTTATACCTAGCATCAGATGAAGAACACGAGCATCAAATTGTGAAGGTATGAGTTAGTTATGGCGTCTGTTCCACTTTACTGTCTTCACTTATTATAATGCGTCAGGCCCATGTCATTTTTTCTTAAACTCGTCCATTAGTGTGGAGCTCCATTAGACGTGCCTCATAAATATGGCAAAAAGCTCTGTTAATGTTCATCTAGCTGGATACTAGCCGTGTTTATCATTTCAAATTCAATTCTGGTAGATTTTACTTATTATGAAGGTGGAGAAGTTGCTGCAGAAAAAAGCCCATCAGCATAATTTGCCCCCCCCCACACACACACACACACACACATATCTAACACTTCAGTTCCATTTTGTGTTCCCATGTAAGAGCTAATTACAGTTTATATTTGTGGATATATCAATTCTTAGAGAACAATTCAACCATTCACTCATCCATTCCTCCATGAGCGACTGCTGACACCCCGGGGCCATGATATCTGTTTATAGCTACAGTGAGTTCACCTTTACATTTTAGTCCTGCTTTTTCTGAACGGATCAACCGCAGAGCTGCTTTTTGTTGGCCATGCTGCACTGGAAGGATTATGAATAAATGCTGCTCCACTTTGAACTTTTAGACTCAGTTTAGAAGCAGCCTAATCTTGTTGGGTGTTTTGTCATTTCGAGTCTTTAGTAAAAAATGTACCAGGATAGGAATAGTAAAAAAAAAAATAAAGTTTTTACATGGCTTGTTCCTCCTGAAACAAATCATATTAAGCTTCATTATCATATTAAGCTTCATTATGTTAACAACAAAGGCAGTCAGGCTTTATCTCCTCATGCCATCTATTTTCACGATAAAGACATTCTCTGAGTTCTTGCATATGCACTTTGCTTCTGGGCGTCGGTGTGCTTGTGTTGAAGTTTTGTTCAAATTACCAGGAACCATCCCACACTTCTCAGAATAAAACCTGTCATTTGATAATTATTCATCCCCTAGACATAAGTGGTGCAGCTGTTATTTATAGTTCCACCTACTAGGATGAAAACAAAAGGAGATTGTGGCCCCCAGACTCTGGAAGTCTCTTCTATTTGTTTGTTATATTTTTGGTCTTTTAAAAGCTAGTTAAAAATATGTATTTGTAAATCTGCATTTATTCATTTTTAATGCTTTTATTGAAGTAGTAATCTGTTTTTTAACTCATGCATTACCATTTCTTTGGAGATTATGCTTAGTTACATACTTATATTGTCCCATGTAAAGCCACAACATTACCAATCATGCTTCATTCCATTTTTACTCAAAAATTCAAATATTCTTCTTTCAAAATCAGTCTGAACTTCACACCGAGTCCAAATTTCAACTTGGAAAGCCAGAGATTTACCCCCAGCTCTAATCTCAAAGTCCAGCTGCCAAACCAATAGTAGAAATGACAGGTACTTGTAAAGCAAAACTGTCACAAAAGACAAACAATTTATGAATAGATCTTTCTAGTATTTGAATACATAAAATATAGAGGAATAACAATTCATAGATATTATTAGTAGTAGTTGATCTGAGGCAACAATGCATAAGTCCTACTTGTTTTTGACCTGGCACCGGAACACAGCTGAATGGGTACAGTGCTTTTCCTGAACAGCTCTGTACCCTCCGGCACTAAACTGACTTCAGTACAAAGTGAAACGCTGAGAGACAGTTCCATTCTCACAGGTTTCCTTTTGGTTCACAAAAACATTTCAGACTTCGGACTGCTGTTTACCAAGACCGTTTTCTGTAGCTTTATCCTAAAGAAAGTTTTGTTCTGAAGTCAACAACATGTGAAATGTGAAATCTTCTGCCAAATACAATGTGCTGAGCATATCCAACAGAACAAAGTGTCCGAAGGATCGTTACTCTTGTCCAGCACTCTTTGCACATTCCTCTTATCTGGGAAGGTCATGCTGTTTCCTGTGCTTTCTGTATATTAGCTTCCTGCATTTACTTATGATCATGGGATAATGCTGTCAGCTCTGAGTAAACATTAGAATTGATCCATATACGACTCCATCCAGATCGTTGCTGTGTGATGCATGTGGGTTGCTTTTGGGTCGTAAACCCTTCATGTAGAAGTCAGATTGCGGCTGAACTTAATGTGTTGTCTGAACAACCACACAGAAAAAATCAGAATTCAGCAAAAATTCTGAATTGAGCATCAAGACCTGCTGTGTACAACGCCTTATTTAAACATGACCTAAACATACTTTATTTCTTTTCCCTCTCTGGCTTGTATAATGAAGTATTCATCAAGGTAAAGACGCAACGAAAGTCCTCTACTGCAGCAGAATTAAAGACTACCACAACCTTCCAAAAAATACAAATCTGAATTGCACCTTCTCAGATAAATGAAAGCTTTCACACAGGCACCTTGCTCCTTTTTATTAACTCTGCATCAAAAGGTAATTATTCCATTGATATGCACACAGAGCCAAACTCTATTTTTAGATCCCACTTCTTCAAGGAAAGGATACCGAAGCACTGCCTTTGTGTGTATCTTCACCTCTTACTATATGCTTTTGAAAAGGATGATTGTGGACTCCATATTCCACAGATAATTGGCTAAAATGGCCCAGAGTGAATGGCTGGTTCCACTTCAAAGAGGAGTTGGATTTTCTGAGGTGCTAAATAAAGACAGGCCCATTCAAGACAGGATTGGACTAAAAAGCCTCCATCTGACAGGGATGGAAATATACCAGTGGATGTAACACCAGAATTGCTCACTGTACTCAGCATTGTGTCTGAGACTCGTAATTTGCCGTGCCTCATCTTTTGAAATGCTTTTTATCCAGACATTAACCTGACCGTTGGCTTCCTATGCAATTCTGCCAGGATAAATAAACAGCACTGTGTGGGATTTTCTCCCTCCACTTACATTTCCTCAGGTAGATTCTATTCAGTCAAGGCCAATCACGAGATAATGTCTTCATTGCTTCATAATCAATTTAAATATGCAATCTAAACATTTATGCTGTCTTTATTTTCAGTTTGAATTAGATTTCCATTATATTAGTTCAATCATTTTCATCGTTTTTAGTGCATACTTAGCTTATAATGTATTTAGAAAAACAATTTTTCACACATTAAGTTGTTACTGGTGCCTTCGCAACTTCAAATGATCTCCTTTAGTGGAACAGAAAAAGATGTGGTCATAAAAATCACTGCCCCACTGTTAGAGTAGTTTTAGATGCAATGTTGCCCTTTATAACAAGACTATTGTACAAGTTAAGTTAAAAAGAAAAATAAACTGTCTTTGATGGCTAAATAAGGTGTTTAATTTTTCAACATTTTGACCATATAAAAAACTTTGAGTCATCCATTTTTAGGAGCTTGACCAACTTATTTAGGTTTATGAAACCTTGTAATATGGACCAAACTCTTTGTCCATTAATGTCCTTGTTTTAGGTTAGAATAACTATTTTGTGTTGAAAATACAATAATTTAAAAACACATGAATTCTGTCCTCCTCCCAAAAACCATTTCCACTGCTGCACTGACTGAGAAATTTAATGTTAGCAAGTGTTCACCTATTTCTAATATTAAATCTATGAACAATAATTCAACTTTAAATTCCAAATAATACACAACAGTCTTCATTCTAGTTTCCTTGATGTTGAATAAAAGTCTGGAAAAGAACAATTACAAGTTTGTTGGCCTAAGCTTCTAAATGATAATGAAATAAAATGAATACTAAACTTTATGTATTTTGTAGATTTTAGTTTTCCATTGTGGTGGTGTGATCCAACATTAAATACTTTCACTTTGGGCATCTGTCTGAGATCCCGGCTTTCGGCACCAAATGATAGGTACTTTTTCTCGAACCTATATAAAAAGACCACAGACAACGTATATGAATTTTATAGACAAAGCTTTTGCAAAAGAAGAACTCTCCGCCACGGCCTCTCCAGGCCGTTCACAGAGAATTCTGATCTCCTTCCACGCGAGCCCCTGTTTTATTGTCAAGCAGAACAGCCAGAAAAAAACAACAGAGGTCGTAAAACATTTAACCTAAACAAACCAGCAACTCAGATATCTGATCTACGATCTGAGCCCAGTTCAGCTCTAGGTCAAACTGTCAACAAAGAGGGAGGATAAACAAGAGACAAAATATGACTGCTCACAGGCAGTTAGGAGGTATTCTGGTTGATAAGAATTAAGGTCTGGGAAACTCAGAGTTATACACACATAAGGAAGAAAACACTTTAAACTAAAAATCACAATAATACTGATTAACATTAGACTGAATATGAACTAAAGTAAGACTGAATATGAACTAAAGTAATAACAAAATGATAATACCAAAAATCTCTATCAGCATCTCACTTGACTTGTGACCGTTCCCATAAATCCCTTTGGTCGTAAACAAAATTATGCCAAATGTATCACAATGGTGTAAATTCACCATCAACACTCTGACACAGGCAAACATGAATCTGATGAGAGAATCTTTATTATATGAAATGAGGGACCGAGAAATGAGGAAATGACAGAATGAACATTTTTAGTGACTAAATGGTGTTTGAAGGCCCATCTTGAGCTTTTAAAGCCACGTGTGCATTTAAACGCTATTATGTGACACAGTATGAGTTAACCATTTGTTTTGTAACATGCTTGAAGACATTTGTTATGGATTGTAGCAATATCAATAAACTGAAATGTTACAGTAGAGGTTGCATCTGGTTGTGTACAACACATGTTTCTCAACAGGCCAACTCAACTGGAGTCAGGGCAGAAAGAAATATGCAAATGCTGATACGGATTATCATAATCATTAAAAACACCTTAGCACTGTAATTCCTCAGATGCCCCAGCAAATGGTTCTGGAAGCAACATTTAAATCTAACCAATAAACACATTTGAGGAGCCACAATCCAACTAAGTGCTCACTTCCAACTCCATTGCACCTACAAAATACTGACCTGACGCTCCAGTGATGGTGTGACTCCGTCTGCAGATGATGGTTAAAATGTGTCTATCCACTGACTTTCTGTCACTATCAATGAGGAAGTGGGGGAGACTTTCTCCAATGATTCGCTTGACATGTCGACAACCCATTGCAGGGCAACACCACCAAGCACACGCTCCAAGCTAATGGCAATTTAGAGATGGAGATAACCCGACAGTCTTATTTTGGGATTGTGGGAGGAAGAGTACCCTGGTGAAAACCCACGCAAGCACAGGTTCGCCTGGCTGCAAGGCAGCTGCACTACCATCCAGCACTAATGAAGTGTGTTGGTGTTGATTACAGTGAAACGTGATTATTCTGCCCATTGCCTTAGATTAGGCACCCATTCTAGTTCATCCTGCCAACGTTTATTTGTGTGTTTCATAACTGGAAATATACAACACATAATGATGAGGTAATGCTGCATATAGATGGGCTTTGAGATGCAAAAACACACTGGTGTTCCATATCCATGGCTGAGTCCTCCACACTCACAGTAACACAGTAACATGAGGGAGTTCATGTTTGGACACTACGTGTTTAAAATCTGACCTCAGTTCACCAACATGAAGCCATTCATGTTCATTTTAAAGGAGCCGAACTCCGTGAGGATCCTTTCTTTTTAAACTTTCATCTTTACATGACAAATACTTCAGCATTGATCAGTGACAAGAATTAATGACTTCTGCAAAGGTAAGGTGACAACAATACTACAATAGCATGATGATTAATTGGATGATTGATTGGAGTATACAGACTCAAAGAGCCATTTGCAAGAACACAGAGAACTGAAAACAAAACCATATACAGTAGAATGTAAAAAAAATCCATTTAAGATAAAAAAATCTTTGTCTATAATCTTCTTTGTTTTAGCATTATAGACAATAAAAGGTTTGTTTTATTTAAAAAGCGAGTTAATCATTTATTTAAATTCATTTATGTATTTTTATTATTGCATAAAAAGGCTTAAGTGGTTACATAAAAAATGTCAAGTTTTTTTTAAGCAGATTGTTGTCAAAATAAAAACAATTATCTGTTACTGAAATAATTAACAGCAATATTTCTAATATTCTGGTAGCAATGACTTTAGACTTGGTAACTCATTGAGATGGAAATTACAATTTGACCAACTTTAACCAAATATACTGGAAACTATTTGAAGTCTCGGGAAATTGCTGTATTTTACTCCTCTTTTTCCCGTATTAGTATTTTCTTGTAAATTTCCCGTATTATAACAATAACTTCCACCTACTTTAAATCCTTTAGACAAGTTAGTCAAGTAAGAAACAAAAAGGAGTTTAAAGTGGCCTAAATGAATCAAGCTGATTTTTCCTTGCTGTTCCAACATCTTCTACATAATATCACTATGCTACAGTTGGTAGCATTAGCTGACTGTCATCCATCCAGCCTGTCATTGTCGTTCCTCAGCTACCCGGTGATCCTGTCCATAGAGAACCACTGCAGCGTTCCTCAGCAAAAGAAGATGGCCCAGTACCTGGTGGAGATCCTCGGGGACAAACTAGATGTGTCCAGCGTCAAGGCGGAGGAGTCTGGGAGACTGCCGTCTCCAGAATCTCTCAGGGGCAAGATCCTGGTGAAGGTGAAGTCTGAGTCTTGATGTTTTATGGAGCAGGCTGAGTTTCAGATGCTACAGAGTTTAGATGACCTCCATCACTGACATTCTTCTCAGTTCGGAGACTCGGTCCCCAGGCTGTTATGACAAGCCCTCCATTTTATCTGCAGGATGATCTTCACACTGTAAAATCAAAGGCAGAATCACAGACTGAAGTGTGGAGAGGAGTGTGTGAAAATGGTGTGAGAGAGGAGAGGCAACCTGCCTCGCTGTAGGAAGGACATTTCCTCCTGGAGGGATTGTGTGTAGTTTAACCAAACTGTAACTCATCTCATCTGTCATGTTGGGAAAACACAGGTGCATCTTGGGAAATATAAGTATTATTAAAACTTTTTTTTGTTAATTTGTGTAAATGAGGAGATTGATACTTATTTACACAATAAGTGTGTAAATACGTATATACACACTTATTGTGACAGTCACTGAAACAGTGAGGGTAAGCTACACAGTATCATTGTTGAAGAAGCTGGGTATTTCAGAGTGCTGTATTCAAACATATTAATGGAAAGTTCAGTGGAAGGAAAAGATGCGCGAGCAACAAGAATAATTGTGAGGAAAAGCCAATTCAAGAGCTTAGAGGAGAATCACAAGTAAATGAGTTCTACATGTAGCCATTTCTGAGCCAGAGGCGACGTCTGCAGGGCTGAGGGGAAAATGATCTGGGCTGCTGCTCATTGCTCCACATCCCTTATTTCTGGAAATCAAGATCATAGAATCTGGATGAAGAGTGAAGAGGCAAAGAATCAAAGCTTGAGTTCCAGTGTCCAAAGTCAGAGCAGCCATTGACCAGGACGGCATGCTTCACTAAACCCTTTTCACTGCAGCTAAAATGGAAAAACTGTGAGAAAAATCAAACAACCTTGTCTTCTCAGGCTTTCATGATTATGGTTATATGCATAGTGAAATAATCAGCTGATCTAAGTCTTTATCATAATATTAGAAATGAATTTCTATAAGACAAAATAACATATCGGGAAATCATATTTTATTTATCACTACAGAAGGGTTCAGTGAATGAGCATATGCAACTGGTGGGTTCGGTACCTCAAAAAAGGTTAAGAACCACTGCCCTAGACTTAAAGCAGGGTGT